ATGTAGGAAACTCTTAAATATTTCACAAAAAAGCCTATTAGAATTAGAAAGCTCACTTTACAAATATCACAAAATTCACTATATTACTATGTGACAAAATGAATGGTAAAAGGCTTAGAAATCTACACCATTTAAAATGGAATCAGAAAAATAAATGTTTCATAATATGCATATACACTGAGGAATTGAATGTGTATGAAGACCTACTAACTATGGCTGTAAGAAATTAAAGAAGGCAAATGTCAGTGAAACCATCCCTGCCACTGCATTGGAAGGCTTAATATTCTTTTTTAGGGGTGGAGATTTTTCAAAATTTTAATGTGAAAAAAATGATACAGAATTTCAAAACAAAATAATAGGAGATTAACAATGCTTAATATATTGTGTACTGTTATCTTAAAAGTAGTTGTTCAGATTACAATATACAGGCATGCAAATTTGAGCAAACAAAGTACAACCCATTCTTTTTGATGAACTAACACAGGTTAATGGAATAATAGTATTAATGGTATATTAGTAGTAGTACTATCAGTAATAGTAGTAAGAAAGAATATATACCATCTTTTACCTTTCCTTTCTCCATTCCCATATCCCAGTTGTTCTTTCTTTTTGAGCACTTTCTTTCCATTTCCCTTTCACAATATCTACTTTACCTTTTGAATCTTATTTGCTCTTTCAGTTTTTACACTAGGGAGACAATACAATATTTACACATGTGAGTCTGATTTATTTCACTTATGAGTATGGTCTCAAGTTGCATCCATTTATCTATAAAAGTCTCAAGTTTATCCTTTATAGCTGAGTGGTACTCCATTGTATAAAAGTACCAAATGTTTTTCATCTATTTTGCGGATGGTGGGCAGTTGGGTTGTTTCCAAGATTTAGCTATTACAAATTGTGCTGCTACAAACATGGATACACACATATCGCTGTGGTATGATGTTTTCAGTTCTTTTGGGAAAATATACAGAAAAGGAATAGCTGGATTGAATGGGACCTCCAATCCTAGTTTTTTCAGGAATTTCCACACTGATTTCCAGAGTTCCCATCAGCAGTGGAGAAAGGTTTCTTTTCCCCCACAAACTCACCAGCATTTGTTATTGGTTAATTTTTTGATGATAGCCGTTCTTTCTGGAGTGAGACAGAATCTCATTGTTTTAACATTGTATCTCTCAAATGACTGATGATGTTAAACATTTTTTCATGTATTTATTTTCATTTGTATTTCTTCATCTGAGAAGTGTGTATTCATCTTAGATGCCCAGTTTTGACTTGAGTCTTTGAATTTAGGGAGGCCTGATTTTTGCAGTTTTTTATATGTTCAAGATAGAAGTTCTTTGAGAGACAGTTGGCTAAAATTTTTCCCACTCTGTGGGTTTTCTTTCAGTCTGTTGGTGATTTCTTTTGATGTGCAAAAACTTTTTAAGAAGATGAGATCGAAGTTGTGATCCTTTGAAGCACTTCCTGTGCCGTTTGCATTTCTTTATGAACTGTCTACCTACTCCTATATCTTCAAGATTTCTACCTACCTTAGGAAGGTAGGTAGAAATAATATTTTAATATTTTTTATTTAATATTTTTTAAAACAACTTTAATATTCTTTAAAACAATTTTCTTCTAAAATTTTTTAAAGAATCACTTCTAAGTAAAATAGGCCACAGATTCAATACAATGTTTCAAAATTTCCAGGGCAGTTGTTTAAAAAAAAAAAACATAACTCATCCCCAAAATTCTTGTGACATATCAAGTGACCCTAAATAGCAAAAACAACTAAGAAGCATAAAGTTGGCGGTCACACTTACTGACTCCAAACGTTATGAAGGTTTACTAAAAATACAGTGTTTTACGAGTGTTAAAACAGAGCATAGGCCAATAGAACAGTATACTAGATCACAGAAATAAGCTCCAAAATGCATGGGTATGTGGTTTTTGATAAGGTACTGAAAGCATTTAATTGAGAAAGGACAGTCTCTTCAGTTAAGTGTTGGTGAAAAAGTTGGCTATCTACATGCAAAAGGATATGGTCACACCCTTTGGACATCATATACATACAACTCATGGGCCAAAATAGATTAGAGTCCTAACCATAATATCTATGAGTGGAAAACTCCTACGAGAAAATAAGTGAAAAGAATCATACATGGCCATTAGCAAAATTGCATAGCTGTGACTCAAAGGGCAGAGATGAATGGAACTACATTAAAATCTTCTGCAAAGCCAATGAAACATGGAATGGAGTGAAGAGTCATCCAGGAGAATTAGAGCAGTTATTTTATAAGGAGGTAACATTCAGAGTGTATTGGGAATTTCTACAACTCAAAATCAGGCAACCAAACAAAACACAAGTACCTCAGTGAAAAACAGGTGAAGGGCTTGAACAGAGCCTTTCCATTGATATTCAACTGGCCAGAAATGTACAAAGAGATCTTATCAACAGTAACCAGTAACCAGGGAAACAGTAACCAGGGAAATTCAAGTCAAAGCCATAGCGAGATACCACTCAACCCCATTGTGAAAACTACAATTTTTTCAAAACTCAGAAAATATTAAGTGTTGGGCATGATATGGAGAATTTGGAACCCTAATATGACACTGGTAAAATTGAAAAATGATACAGCCACTGAGACAAAAGTATAGAGAGTTCTTAAAAAGTCGAAAAGCAATTGCCCTCCACCTAGCAATCACCGGGCGGGTAGACATTGAAGAGATAATCTCATGCCCACAACCACAGCAGCGCTGCTTCCTGTAGACAAAAGGCAGAAACATCCTGGTGCTCACCATGCACAGATGGACTAACGGCATGCGTTATCAATGCAGCATGTAAGGTTAGCCTTCAGGTGGGAAGAAATTCTCACCTGCAGTGCACTATAGCTGGTCAACGGCTTGTGTGTGAAGTGAAGTTAGGGAGTTAGCAGAAGAATGCTGGGTCTCATATGGGGCAAATCCTGTGGAGAAATGCAGAATACAGCTTCCCTGTGCCTGGAAAAAGGTAGAAAGGGAGGTGTTGTTGACTGGGAGCAGAGGTTCAAAGATGCAGAATTAAAGTTCTGAAGATGGCTGTAGGGCAGCATGATTGGATGCAATGAAACTGAGCAGAACGTGAAGTGCTCACCATGCCGCATTGCATGCTGTAGGTTTGTATCACACATAAAGAAACAAAAAAAATAATTTGTAAATGATCGCACAGGTTAGGCTGAAAAATCAATCAGGTGATCTTTGGATTTTGAGAAGTTGATACTCCACTGAAGTTCATTAGCTTATCTGGAACTATGCTAATCTATGTTGGCACTGATGACTGAAAATACTAGATAAAAAGTGTTACACATAGAATTTTAACAGGAATCTTCTTTGGGCTTGCAAGATGTCATATATGGCGAACTACACAACTGTTTTTGTTATATTGTGGATGAGATTCAAGGGCGCTTAATTTCTCCCAGTCCTTTTAAGATTCTTTTTTAATTTGGAACTGTGTCTTGCTAGGTTTGTGTCCTACATCAGCCTCCCTCATTGTTATTGTTATAGGCGAAAGACCCCAATACCAACAATGAATGGTAGTGTTTGCCAGAATCTGAAAAACAGGTACAGTGAAAATTACTTAATAGAAAATTTGGTGGAGTTTTTTGTTTGTTTGTTTTGCCTTTTTCTGTGGAGTATTGACTAATTATTGTTTCAACTAAAGTGCAGTCAGTTTTCCTGATAACTCACAATCAGGATTAATGCTCACTAGTAAAATTACTGCCTGATTCCTTCTTGTCGTATTGCATTGCAGAATTAAGACAATTGCACATTTGCACAATTTGCTTCCTATACCCAACATGCATTTAGCATGGTTGAGACAAGAATATATTTTTTCAAGTTGACAGAAAAATTACAGGTAGGACATATGTATGTATATGTCAATATATACATGTGTGTACAAACGTGTACACGTGTACCTGTATATATCCCCAGGACAGGTGCCAGCCACCATAGCAGGTAGGCAGATCTCCCTGCATGCAGAAGACAGCTTCCTGACACTGGACATGCAGTGGTCAGCTCCACTAAATGGACCTCTATAGAAGAAGCCAGGGACTTTGACCAGGTGGGGTTGGTCACAAGGCAGGTGAGATTGAGGAGGTCTGTCCTGAGCTGCAGGACCAGGACCTCAGCAGTGCAGACAGAATGAGGTCAGCAGAGGAGCTGGACACTGAGCATCTGCACCGTTCCACCTGTACTCCTTCCTCTCTGGGCTGCAACCTCAAGCTGTGCCCTTTCTCAGCAGTGTTCATGGCAAGAGAGCACCATTTGCAGTGGTCAGCAGCAAAAAGTTCAGGTCCAAGCTATGAAACGAGGAAGCCTTGTGGTTTTCCCCAGGCTCCTAGCAAGGGCTGAGCAGACGTCAGGGTGCCTGGGGTCTGATGGTCCCTCAAGTGGCAGCAGGGACACAGTTCTTCCCTGTAGGACTCATGGCATCAGGAACACAGAGCAGGAGGCACAGCCAGCGTGCTGAACGGGGAAAGAAGTGCACTGCTCCCGCTTCCTTGCATGAGGCACAGCGGCCCCATGCCACGTCACACCATAGTTTCTAAGTGTCCCTCTCTAGGGTGCTTGGTGTAGGGTTTCATAGACATATTGACATTAGATTCAGTAGTGAGGCACAAAGAGTCTTGCTGTGAAGATCAAGTCCTTCTATCTGTGCTGGGAAATGGTGACATTGGCTCCCATGTTAAGGACTCTCTGATCACTCATCTGCTCAGTGTGGGACCAAAGCGGATGAGATTTGGGTTTGCTCTACTCCTGAACTGTTATTTCTGTGATGGAAAAGGACAGGCTATATTCACATCTGTCAAAAGTTGGACTTTGACATACTTTCAAGAAGGACTGAAAGATGTATGGAATAATAGATGAAAGAAAGAAAATAAACCCCATGTGAACATGGATGACTCAGAACCCACATTCAGTGCCCTTCCCTCCAACCCTCCATGCCCACCAGAGGACACGGTCTCTCACTGACCACCCCTTCACGGGGCCACCCATCTCTGTCTCAGCCTCCGCAGGGCATCCTTCACGTCCTGATTCCGCAGGCTGTAGATGAGGGGGTTGAGCATTGGGATGACCTGGGTGTAGAAGATGGAGACCACCTTGCCCTGCTCCATGGATTCCACAGCCCCTGGCTGTGCGTACACGGCAAACAGAGTTCCATAAAACAGGGACACGGCTGTGAGGTGGGAGCCACAGGTGGAGAAGACCTTTTGTCTTCTGGATCCTGAACGCATCCTGAGGATGGTCACTGTGATATAACCATAGGACAGCAGGACTGCTACTGTAGTGCTGACAATGATGAAGCCACAGAGGCTAAACAACAGAAGGTCATTGACTGATGTATCAGCACAGGTGAGCTGCAGCAGGGGGGACACATCACAGAAGAAATGGTTGATGCGGTTGGAGCTGCAGAAGGGGAGCCGGAACGTGAGGCTGGTCTGCACAGTGGAGTTGAGGAAGCCTCCACAGTAGGAGCCCAGAACAAGGCAGGCACACATCATGGAGGACATTGTCACAGGGTAACGCAAGGGACTGCAGATGGCCATGAAGCGGTCATAGGCCATCACGGCTAACAGGAAAGTCTCGGTGGTACCAAACATGGAGAAAAACCAGAGCTGGGTGGCACAGCCTGCAAAGCTGATGAGCTTGGATGAGGAGAAGAAGTTGGCCAGGGCTTTGGGGGCAATGACAGATGAGTAGCAGAGGTCCAGAAAGGACAGGTTCTTGAGGAAGAAGTACATGGGGGAGTGCAGGCGGGCATCCAGGGTGATGACAATGATCATGGTGAGGTTGCCCACAATGGTCACTGTATACAAGGCCAGGAAGACAGCAAACAGCAGGGCCTGGGTCTCCGTACCTCCCCTGAACCCATCTAGCACAAACTCCCTCAAGGGCACCACCGACAGGTTCTCATTTCCGTGATGGGTCATGGACCCAAGCCTGGCACCTATGCAGAGAGGATGATGGAGGCAGTGACAGAGAGGAGGTCACGGTCCCACACTCACACTTAAAATGGGGCAGAAAACCCTAGGAACTGGGCTGCCCATGGGCCGGTGTCCACCAGCTCCTCTGCTCTCCTTCCAGAGGAGGTCTCCAATGGAATGCTGTCTCTTATTTAGTTAAATCTGGAGTCTGTGCTGAGACCCTGCTGGGTAGGAAGCTGAGTCATGCCCTAGTGGGGCAGAGCTGGCCCTCTCAGTGGCAGACACCAGTGCATCCCACATCTGTTCCTCTTCACTCTTGAATGAACACAAGGTAGTGAGGACCTCCTTCCTCCGAGGCCTGGAATGGTATGATCACTCAAAATATCTGTGCCTGAGATAGTGGGGTGAAGCCCTCCCAGGCTGAGTGGGGCCCTCTGTACTCTCCCCTGAAGACCCAAATCCCACTTCTGTAGCTGTACTCTGATTTGGGATCACAATGCTATTCAGCTTGCAGTGATCCTGCCTTCTGGAGTGTGGGGGATGAGGTGTCACTTTAAAGGCCCCAACCCCCTCAGACCTGCAATATACAATAGCCCCCGGTATGTAAGACAGAGGTAGGACAGGAATGCCTGTTCTCAGTGGGATCTCTCACCCTCTGGAAACCATACTGTGTGAGCTGGCTTTGTTTTGCAGAAGTCTTGAGGAAGTGGCTGGCCACCCTTTGTGACACTAACAGCAGACAAAATTAACATCTTTCTTGGGCTAATGAATTTCTTTCTGGGACTAGAGGAGTTAGGAGAACTGGTTGTGGTTATTTACTTTACTTAGATAGTTTAGAATAAACATTGTAGTCTGTCACATTGTAGCTTGTCACAAAAAATGCCTTTTCACTACTTAATTGTCTGGGCTCTGTGAACTGATCCGGTTTACTATATAGGAATCCTAAAATAAAGATTGTGCGTGCAGTGCAGTGCATAGAGTGCAACGCGGTGCAGGCAATAAAAATACCGTGTCTCCTTTGTCTTCCTTTCCGAGCGCTGCACCCCCCGTGTCCCGGTCAGGCGTGTTTGCGTGTTTGCCTTTCCCAGAGTCCAGAGTACACTAGATACTCACGACAAGTGGCGCCCGAACAGGGACTCTGAAGGTCGCTTAGGAAGGTAAGTATAATTTTATTATGGGGATATGGGACAATCTGCTTCCTCTCCTTTCTTAAAAATTCTTAAATATTTATTATCTATATATGGCATATCGCTCAGGTCAGCTGACTTGGATATGTGTATTGATACAATTAAAGAATACAATCCTTGGTTTCCAGATGAAGGAACTTTGGATGTAGAAGTATGGAGGAAGGCGAGGGTTAGTATAGAAAGGGCTTATGCAACAGGAGGAGAAAGTTCCTTTATGTTTTTGGGCTATTTGGTTGGTTGTGTACTCTTTATTAAAAGCTATGGAAGATGAACATATTGTAGAAAATCTTCAACTAGAAATTAAACCAGTTATTCAGGAATTGCCCCTCACAGAGGAGGAGCAAACTGTAGTTCAAAATGACGCTATCGCTTTAAGTAGTAAAAAGGCGTCCAAACCGAAGGTAAAATTCGCTGCAGCTGACTCAGCTTTAGCTGCCGCAGCAACATCAACTTGTGACAATTGCCCAGTTTTACAGGCTATACAGCATTTAACACAAGAGGTAAAACAGCTTTCCGTTAAGCAGAACCTACCTATACCTCCCTCTGCACCTCCTCCATCTAACCCTAATTGGAGTAAAGCCAAACTAGCTTTGGCTGACATACCAAAATTAGGGGATTCTGATGAGGAAACGTCTGCCTTTGCTTTCCCTGTAATCAGGCCGCAGCCAGTAGATGGAGCGGCAGTTCCCCCTAGATGGGAAGGATTTAATATGGATGATTTAGCAAAATTAAAAAAGGCCGTAACCCTTTATGGCCCTCAGGCTCATTACACTAGAGAATTAATAATGTCGGTAGCAGATCAATATGGTAATCTTGCTCCTTATGATTGGAAAACCTTGGCTAAAATTCTTTTAAAAGAGCCAGAATATTTACAGTGGCATATGTGATTTATGGAAGGTTGTGCAGAAAAGGCAAGGCAAAATGCTGACGATCGAGATCCTAATATTAAACTCATTTCTTATCCCATGCTCTCTGGTACAGGTTTCTTTGATACTGTTGAGCATCAGGCAGAGGCTCCAAAAGAGATTCATGCTCAATTAAAAAATATTGCTTTAGAAGCTTGGGATAAAATAAGGCCTAAAGGATCCGAATATGGATCTTGGGCTAAAGTTCTGCAAAGAACCAATGAACCATATGTTGAGTTCATTGCAAGACTTCAAAATGTTATAGAAAGAACAGTAGTGGGACAAGACTTACAACAACATCTCTTAAAACTTTTAGCTTTTGAACATGCTAATGATGAATGCAAAAAGGTTTTAATTCCAATAAAAGATACTGGAACGATTGACAGTTTTATAAAACAATGTAAAGATTTAAATTCAGAATCTAAGAAAATGCAACTGTTTGCTGAAACCATGGCAATCACGTGGAATAATTTGCAATCTAAAAAGGAACAGTCTTTAAAATGTTTTAGTTGTGGTCAGACAGGGCATGTAAAGAGGGCCTGTCTAAAACTTTTAGACAATGATCAAAGAAAAAAATCTAAAGCCCCTGGCTTGTGTCCAAGGTGCCAGAAGGGAAATCATTGGGCTCGTGAATGTAAAAGTAAACAAGTTAATTCAGCTGAACAGAAGGGAAATGGGAGAGCGGGCCTTACCCCAGGCCCCGGACAAATCAATGGGGTAAACCTACCGTATTCTCCCTACAACCAGCCACCCAACACAGCGCCGTAGTGGATATACCAGCCTTAAAAGATATAGAATTAAGAGGAGGACAATCTCCCGTGAGAATTCCTACAGGAATTTTTGGTCCCTTGCCTGCAGGAACTTTTGGCTTGCTCACGGGTCGGTCTAGTTTAAATCAGAAAGGCATTACTGTTCATTTAGGAATTATTGATGCAGATTATACTGGAGAAATTCAAATCTTGATGTCCTCACTTACAGACTATAAATTATTAAAAGGAGAACATATAGCTCAACTCATTTTACTGCCTTATATCCCAATAGGATCCTCTGTTGTTCAGCGAACAGGAGGGTTCGGCAGCACTAACCCTATTAATGTAATGTGGACAGCTAAATTATCTCAACAACAATCTCTTATTAATATTTTTATTGAGCATAAGAAAATTCAAGCTTTTATAGATACGGGCTCGGATATTACTATTGTTAAATCTACTGATTGGCCTTCTCATATTACTTATACTATTGTTCCATGTAATATAAAAGGAGTAAGTAAAACTCCAGTAAATACAATTGGACAAGCCACAATGCATATACACATAAAAAATGAAGAGGGTCAAATTTCTGTTATTAAACCTTATATCTTAGAGGTGCCAGTTTCTATTTTAGGAAGAGATATATTAGAACAATGGGGAGCTCATATACATTTTTAATATTTTATATGTCTCTGCAGTTTTGGGGAATGAATCCTTTAAAGCTTAATTGAAAAAATGATGACCCAATTTGGATAGATCAGTGGCCTCTGACTACTCAAAAGTTATAGGCAGCACAGGAATTGATTGATCAACAACTTTCTCTACATCACATAGAACCATCCACATCTCCTTGGAATTCTCCAATATTTGTGATAAAAAAGAAATCAGGCAAGTGGAGACTTTTAACAGACTTACGTGCTGTAAATGCATCTCTATTTAAAATGGGAACCCTTCAGTCTGGCATTCCTTTACCCTCAGTGCTCCCTGCTGGTTGGTTTGTATATATTATAGATTTACAAGATTGTTTTTTAAATATACCCTTACATCCAGAAGATAGAAAAAGGTTTGCCTTTTCAATTCCTCAAACAAATTATCAAAGACCTTATCAAAGATATCAATGGAGAACATTACCCCAAGGAATGAGGAATTCCCCAACTATATGTCAAATTTATGTTGATGCAGCACTAAAACCAGTGCATGCACGATGGCCTCAGGTTTATACGGCTCATTTCATGGATGATATTTTATTCTCATATAGTGATAGAAATGTTTTAGAAGATATTTTTAAAACTTTACCTCAATATTTTTCCCCGTTTGGACTTGTAATAGCACAGGATAAAATTCAAAAGAAAGAAATTAGTCATTATTTAGGATATATTCTTACTAGACAAAAGGTGATTCCACAAAAAATGTCTATTAAGAGAGATAAGTTATCCACTTTAAATGATTTTCAAAAATTATTGGGAGATATTAATTGGCTTCGTCCCACACTAGGTATTCCTACTCATGCATTGCAGCATTTGTTTGCTACTTTACAGGGCTCTTCAGATCCATCCAGCCCTCGTTCATTAACAGCAAAAGCAGAGCAAAAATTACAGTTTGTTAAACAACAAATTAAAGATGCATTTTTAATTAGGATTGATCCTAAATTGCCTCTAACTTTATATATTATTAATACTTTTCAATATCCTTCTGCAGTTTTAGGTCAGAATGCTATGCCAGTAAAATGGGTATTCACTAAAACTAAGCAATCTAAAAATGTTACACCGTATATCGATATGGTTGCAGCTTTAATTATAAATGGTAGAGCTCGTTCTATAACTTTGACAGGAGAAGATATAAACAATATAGTTATCCCTTTAACTAAGGAACAATGGGAATATTTGTTATCAATTACTGAAACCTTACAGATTGCTTTAGCAGATTTCATGGAAACTTTTTCGTATCATTTTCCTAAAAGTAAATTATGGGATTTTTTTAGACGTCAACAATTTGTGGTTAATACTTTATTAGCTGTACAGCCAATTCCACAAGCTTTGACTATATTTACAGATGGATCTAAAAATAAAACTGCATATTGGACTCAAAAATCTTATTGGGTACGTCAGACAAATTTTAATTCTGTACAACAAAATGAACTTTTTGCTATATTGCAAGTGTTTTTA